TCCTGCTGCCACCACCCCCCTCCCTCTGTGCTCTCAGTGTCATTTTTTCTGTGTATAACTTAAGCTCATCCTCTAATTTGGGCTTTCGCAGCTTGGATTCATGTGTAGCCACCAAGAGCCTCTTCTCTTCAAGACCTTTTGACTTCTGGTCCTCCAAGCTGCCTCTTCTCTCCCCACCTATCAGATTAAATCCCTGGGTGCATGGCTGTGACTAGCTCAGCCTTCTGCACTGGGAGCCTCACAGGCGGCTGGATAGCCTGCCTATGGATGGGCTGCTTTGGTGACAGGAACCCACCCTGCATTTGCTCAGCTGTTGCCAGGGGGGGACAGGGCCTTATGCAAAAGGCACCCTCTCAGCAGGTCGTCTTCATGTGTTTTCCCTTAGAGAATGGGCTGGGAGTGTAGACGCACCGAGACTAGCATATCCAGATGACTGTGACTTATTCATCAGGCAGCCAGCAAAGCCGTTTTATGTGCCAGGGCCCAGAGATGAACGAGAAGACAGGACCCAACCCAAAAGCAGGCTGCCAAGAAAGGCAGACACTGAAAAAATGAATAATTATGCTGATACATGTAACAAATACTGCAGGAATTTCACTAAGTACCAGTGGTGAGAGGAGGAGGAGGGGGAGAGATATGGTCAAACTTAGTCTGCCGACAAGCCTGTCTAAAAGCCCAGTTCTGCTGAGTGTAACTTCTCTGTGCCTCGGTTTCCTCATCTGTGAAGGTGAGATAATACTAGAACCTCATACAAGGGGTCGTGTAGATTAAAAGAGCCATTATAGATAAACAAAATGTGGTCTACCCATGCAGTGGAATATTACTCAGCCATAAATAGAAATGAAGTCCTTATATGTGCTACAACGTGGATGAACTTTGAAAATATTATGCTGAGTGAAATAAATCAGAAACAGAAGGATGAATATTGTATGATCTCACTCATGAAGTACCTAGAATAGTCAAATGCATAGTGACAAAAGTTTATTAGTGGTTACTAGGGGTTGAGGGAGGAGGGAATGGTGAGTTGTGGCTTAATGGGTACTAAGTTTCTGTTTAGGGTTATGAAAAATGTTTGGAAATAGGTTGTGATGATGGTTGCATAACATGGTGAATGTAATTAATGCCACTGAATCATACACTTAAAAATGGTTAAAATGGCAAATGTTTTGTTATATATATTTTACCACGATAATAATATATATATGAAAAAGAGCCACTACACATAAAGTCCCTGGCACACAGTATCATCTCCATACATGTCAACTATTATGACCAACCATATTTCAGTGAAATAGAATTCCTGTTCCAGACATCCCAGCAGGGGAGGCTTTCACCAGGTGGGATTTCTGGGGCTGGCCCCGGGGCCTGGTATTGCCAAGATTAAACATTACAAACTCTTGCACTCAGAGTATATCAGCCACTCCCTTGCAAAAACCTTTCTTCCTGACCCCTCACCACCTGCTTTCCTATTTGCCAACATGCCTTCACTCAGCTGTAGCTGCCTCAGTGTAACGTCAGATGACTTCAGCTTTCCAGGTGCATTCTGGGGTAGCACAGCAGTCCTGAGAATTGACCCAGCTGGTAGTCATGACAGGCTGGTAGTCATGACGGGAAAGTTCAGATCACAACCCCCAGCCCACTCCAGCCCCTCAGGCTGGGAACTGCCAATACCTTCCTGCATATCTGGCCTTGGGGACTGCAGTGCAAGCCACCTATCTGCAGATTTTAAACTCCCGACATAAAGTGGGATCTACTCAGTGCTTGCTGTGGCTCAAATGCTGTTCTAAGAAATTTCACACATGCACTGTCTTTTAAGCGTTACAGTACAGTAAAATGGAAGTATAATTTTCTCCATTTTACAGATAAGTAAGCTGAGGCTCAAAGAGGTTAAGTGACTGGCCATGCTCACGTTTTCTCATTCCAAGCCCTGTGTTCATTTTATTACACTATAGTTGAACCCCCTAATCTGTGGAGATTAAACATTGCAGCAACTTCCAATGACTGTAGATTATTTTCCTGGAGAGCTTAATAGGAAAGATAAAAATCTGTTAAAGATGCCTTTATAAAGAGAAAGATTTTCCATGCTAGCTTGAATTTGGGGGATTTTTAAAAATGATTTGGAATATTCCCTTTGTATGATTCAAATGCATGTAAGCATTGGTATTATGCCCATTTGCAGAGGTAGGATTTATAGTACCAGGTTTATATTCCTCCATGCTAGGCTTATCTAGGCAGCATGAGACCTTGAGAAATTTAATTTATTAATACTGTACTTATACCCCTTTGTTTCCAATATGACCAAAGTGGCTTACATACATCCAGAACACATAAGCTCATGGGGGTCCTTTAATTCTCTCTTTCTGCTACATGGATCTTTGTTAAGGCACTCAAATGTCAAAGAGTAAGATAACAAGAACCCTGTAAGGAGAGAATTGATAAGAGTTTTATTGAGGATTTGTTACAGCTGAAGCTAGGATAACACTTGGTAAAATACCAAATACTCCAAAGTCCAAAAGAGGAGAGGGATTTTTATAGGGAGGCCTGGGGGTTACACATGAATCACAAGTAAACTTTTCACAATATTAGTTAATCTATTTTCCATCACAGACTGCATAAGCAATTTTCTGAGAACAATCTCATATAAACATCCTTTTGGGGAACATTCTCGACATTCTCTTTCTGGAACGTTCTTATCATTTGCTTAACTGTAAACTATAACTTTGTCTACGAGCATTCTTTCTGAGAACAGAACATTTTTTATCACAGTCTTAAGTAAGCATAACCATATACTTGTTCACCCAAGGGGGTGGGGGCGCATACATATTCTGAAAGCAGTGGGTAGGGATCTAGGGCAAAGGGGGAGTTTGAATCAAACCTGTGTCAGTCACTTAGTCATGCCAGTCACCTCAGTTTTAAGGTGCTCTTACAAGAGAATGGGTCTTGAATTGCTTGAAGCATTTTGCTTATTTCAGGAAAAAAAGGAACCACTTCTTATTGCTTTCCGACAGAAGCTGACATTTCAGTTCTTTCAGTACTAAAATTAAAGGAAGAGCCTCCGCATGTTGTTAATGCTGCCTGCTGGTCTGTTGCTGGTGTACTCTGCCCCCAGAGCAAAAAATGAGATCTGCTTTTGCAGGGTCCCAGTGTGGAGAAGGATGATCTCCATTTCCCTTCTTTAGGGCTGCCCAGAAAGGAATGATGCCATCCACTTGACTAAACTGGAAAGTGCTTACTTTCTCAAGGTCTAGTAATATTAATATTCTTATTTTAAAACAATGAAATTATGTTAATTTATAACATATAGAAGCTTCACTGTGACCAGGTATAACCACTGACAACCCAGTAATGTAGCCAGCTTCTCACTACAAAGAGGCATGGGGTAGCTTGTAAAATTGACATTAATGAGGTCAGGGTAATGGATTTCATTACTTTGTACACCACTTCCCATAGGAAAAAAAATAGTGTTTCATTTTTGGGTATAAAATCCATTTTTTAAAAATAGCTTGTTGGCACACCCACTCCTCACTTATTGACATGGTTAGGTTCCAAACACTAGGTCATTATCCAAAAATCAGTGTTAGGTGAAAATGGAGGATGATCACATCAGATCACAAAATGGAGGATGGCTACATCATTACATAACTGCCAGATTATATCATTACATAACTGCCAAACTATATCATTACATAGCTGCCAGGTTACATCATTGTATAATTGCCAAACCACTGAGAATCATGGCCCAGCCAAGTTAACTCATAACCTTAAGCATCACAGCCAGTGTTACTCTTGCCTTGCACCTCAGCATTCATTACTGCCAAACATACATTGTTAATGCACAAAATAGATAGTAGATTTTTCACTATTGTCGTAAATGTGAAGTGTTGGATAGCAAGATAGTCAATAAGAGAGGAATAGGTACAAAATAATTTCTCTATCTAAACAGTGCTTTTAAATAACACGTTTTTATGCAAATAACGTGGGCCTTCTGTTTGTTTGCTAACTGCCCCACCCTTGAGGTATTTTCATAAGTACGCTATGCTTTTTTTTTTTTTTTAACAGTAACATGAAAAAAAAAATTGGTATAGCAGCTCTTATGAAAATACCTTGTGGTAAGAGGGCATGGTTGGCAAATAGAAGGTACCCATTATTTGCATAAAAATGTGGTAGTTTGTTACTGCAAGAGATATTGGTCCTTTAAAAAATTTTTTTTTCTCTATAAGCTGAAATATTTAGAAGAACAAGCTAAAGTTAGAAACGTAAGGGGAGTGGTAAGGTTCTCATTTTGCTCCTCATTCAGAGTATAGACCCAAAGGCTTGCTCCTCTCTCCTCTCTGAAAAGAAGCACCACACAGCTGACCTTCCCAATTATACAGTCTTCAATGAATAGTCCAGATTGTTTTGTCCAGTGCTGTTCATTGAACAGTGTTCTTGGGTGCTTCTTGACATAGAATGAAATTTTCTTAATTCTATACAGCTTTCAGACCATTGATTTCTATGTCTTTTCTTCTCATCTGTCATTCCAGTACTTCCTTTTAAGCTGACCTGATTATTTTGAGGTGTATAATAAGAAATTAGTGTATGGTAAAATATCCTTACTACATGTATAATATAAAACAGCTTTAGATTGAAAGTTGATTCCAGTTCTTCAAAGTCTGACCTTAAACTAACTTTAGAATATATATGTATTTATATTTCTTGTGTATTTCTCAAACTTTGTGGATAATAATAGCACCTACTATTGATGACTATGTGTATGCCATGGATGTTGCTAAGTATTTTATATACATTAGCACCTTTTTGTCCTCCCAGCATATGAAGCAGGTTACTTATCTTTGTTTACAGATGAAGATCTTGAAACAGAAGACATGAGACACTTAATAATTTCCCAAGCACTGCCTAGCAACTGGCAGACCCTCAATTCTAACCAAGGTCTGACTGATTGTAGCTCCACAAACCAATCACTGGTCAAGCAACTAAACATGAACTTGTTGAATCTGTAGGTCATCAGTGAGTGGTCTTCTCACGTCATCCTTTAGGCAGCACCAGGAGTCTTTGGCTGCAGAGAGAGAGAGACGGCGGCAGGAGAGAGAAGAAAGGCTGCAGAGAATAGAAAGGGAAGAAAGAAACAAATTCAGGTAAGAAGGATTTAAAAGTTTTTTGTTTTTTTTTTTTTTATTAAATAATGAATTGAGAATTAAAGCACATGCCTTCACAACTGTATATGATTAATGCTGGTATTAAAGGGCTAGGAAGTAATGCATTTACTTCAGATTGTATCTGCATCTTCAAGGAAAGCAGGACATACCTGAAATAGTCTAGGTCTGGTTTGCTGTGGCCTTTCTTTCTCTAACCATATGGGAGGAAGTTTGGACAGTCAGCCAAACACAGTTAGTGACTTGTGTCTTCTTTGGTCCACCAGGATCTAAAATGGTCTTATCCAGGCCTTCCTGAAGACAGACAGCCTAATTGTCTTAACTTAATTTGCTATTTCCCTCTAAAGCTCCTCATGTTTTATTCATGTTCTATCAGATGCCTAAAAGAAAAGGCTTTTCTCATTTTCTGGTTTGCTTCCTGCTCCCTATAGCAGTCTTCATTTTTTTTAAGAATAATTTCTCCTCCCCTGGGGAGAAAAATTAATCATGTTGCTCACTCCTAGCCCATTGTTTCCCTGATCTCCTTGGTCTCTGTCCAGCTATAAGAATGTGCTCCTGAAGGTGGTGCACTCCAGGTTCCATATATTAGACCAACTGCCCCCTACTGAGTGTCCTCTGTGTCTCCTTCAGCCAGTTCACCTGTTCTCCCCATCCCGCAGGTCAACCTCCTTTCACTTCTGTCCCCTGAGCTTGATGCTCTGCTGGGCTTTATGGAATGCAGAATACTTGCTGAGTCTTTCCTTATCTATCCCATTCCTTCTACCCTTCCTGTACCCTCTTTTCCTATCCCTTTCTTTGCTCTGCCTTTCCCCTTTTCCTTTTCACCTTCTCCCCTTCTTCATCTTCCAGTCGTCTTTCCTGTGGCTTCTACATTCTTTCTTCTATTCATTTCTCTCCCCTATCTCCACTTCCTGTTACCTCAGCTCAGTTTGTTTGGCAAACAGTATTTCCACTGGTTACTCGTATTTAAATCCACAAGGAATGGAAAGCAATGTCAGTGCAGATTTAGAGGTCCAATAAGTTAGTTTTTTTCCCAGCAGCCAGGAAGAGTATATGTAATTGTAGAAACAATCAAAATATGAGCAGAGTTATGAAGTTGTTTTAACCATAACTCACTTCTACATGAAAACAAATACCCCAAGAATGTGGATGAAATGCTAGCTTTCATAAGACTATGTTAATGGGCTGCATAAAGTAAACCAACATCATTGCCCCTGAGCTGTCAGATTTTATGAGGTAGTTCTGGACGTTGTCACTTTTGGAAAGACCAATTTGTAAAACCACAGGAACAGGCTAAATGATCTTGATTCGTGGCTTTCTCAGAGACTTGCATATTTTGCCACCAAATAGCAGCAGACAATCTGACACACGGAAAATTCTGAGATTAGCTTACACATTCCAAGTTTTTTTTATTGAAAACTTCTTAAAACAGGGTACCAGCTCTGGGGAAGATGGAGCCAGCACACTCCATCCTGTCTCTCTCACTGCATCCCTGATTGCAGCCATAAATCATGGGCAGAGTGCATGGAGCTCTGAAAACTCTGAAATGTAGGTGGGAGCAGGCCAGTTGGGAAGGGAGACTAGAATTCAAAGTTTCACCAAACCAGTGCAGAGTTTACCTTTTTTTTCCCTCCAATATCACCTGGTTTGTACTGAAAGGAGCCCTGATGGTATGGTCGTTAAGACCTTGGCTGCTAACCAAAAGGTTGGCATTTCAAATCCACTAGCCACTCCTTGGAAACCCTGTGGGGCAGTTCTACTCTGTCCTGTAGGGTCGCTATGAGTTGGAATCCATTCGATGGCAGTGGGTTTGGTTTTTTGGATGTACCCAAAGGCTCCCTGAAACCCAGAAGTGCACACCCAGTGTGGACTGAAGGAACTCCAAGGGAAGGTACCCTTTCTGGACTGGGGAGCACAAAGGGACCCCTAAGGGTCAGCAGGTGGGGAAATCCCATTTTTCAGGCGGCCTGATCACATGATTCAGCAAGTAGCTTCACAGCAGCACTTTTCCTCAGCCAGATTTCAACCCTGTCCAGTTGGGGGTTTCCAGAGCCAAGAACAGAGCTTAAACATAATAGATAATGCATACCTCAGGTGAGGAGTAAACGCTTAACTAAATATCAGCTCAGCCGGACCAGACATACAGCAAAGCTCCTCACACAAGTCGCTCACCTCACCAAATGAAGATGGTGAATCAAAAGAGTCCTCCCCTACCATAGTCTCAGGCAAGTCTCTTCCCTGCTCATCTGAATCATGTTTCTGGAGCCTCATTCATAAAGGTTTTTCTTTTTTTTAGACACTGTGCAATAGTGCCTTATTCCATTCTGATATTCGTTTGTATCTGTGCCTCACAGTGAAGCACCTTCCTACATCTGTGTATATTGCTGACATGTTACTTATATCTATTAATTCTAGTCTTTGCTCTCCTGCTAGCCAGCTATGTGACCTTGCATTTCAGTTTCCTCATCTGTAAGATAACACAAAGTCAGCTAGGTAGTCTCTAAGGATCCCTGGTGGCACAGTGGTTAAGCTCTTGGCTGCTAACGGGAGGTTCGGCGGTTCAAACTCACCAGCCACTCCGTGGAAGAAACATATGGCAGTCTATTCTCTAAAAATTACAGCCTTGGAAACCCTGTGGGGCAAAGTCTACTCTGTCCTCTAGGGTCGCTAAAAGTTAGAGTTGACTCAGTAGCAATGGGTAGGTAGCCTCTGATCCTTTGAAGCCCTCATGTTATATCACTCTGCAATCCCTCTGAGGCTCCTTTGGGGCCTGCAGTGGTATGATCATGCGGCTGTCTTTGCCAGCAGTGTGACGTGGGTGTTTTGCCCTGAGGGCCCTGATGTCAGTGGCCTCTCTCAATAATCCTAACTAGATTCCAGTCTCCAGGTGGACAGAAGCCATGCCTTTCCACAGTCCATAATATGTTTTGCACAGTTCTGAGGGCCAAGTATAAGATCAATTGTGATCTTTAAATTATTGAAAGCAACGTGAGACCATGAGTCAGTGTCACTGCATAAGGAGACCCAAAGTAATACCAGAGAGAACACTTGCCATAAAGTAGACCCTCACATACAACCACATCATTATGTCATAACAAAGGAATCAGAAGGCACTGGGACAAGTGGCAAGTTGGGAATCAAAATGGAAATTGCACTTACGGGAACATCTGAATGATGGTGAAACCTGCCATAATGATAGACTTAACGATGTGCCCAGCATACTTTTAATTGCTTTTCGTATGTAACCCACTTAATCTGCACACCAACTCTCTGAGGTAAGTACAATTATTATCCTCATTTTATAGATGAGGAAACTGAGACATGGAAAGTCAAGAAACTTGTCCAAGATAACACAGCAACAAGTGGCAGAGTGAGGACTAGATAGACCCAGGCAGCCTGTCTTCGGAGTCCATGCTTATAACTGTTCACCATTCACTCTTGGTTCCAAACGATCCTCGCTTGTCATTTAAGAACAGAATGATCCTGGTGAAATGACCCTTGTCTGGGAAGGAATGCTGATCGTCAGGACAGACCATGGGCAACTATTAACAATGCTGACTACAGTACCATTCTGCAAGTCAGGGGATGTGAATGCAAAGAAATTCAAACAGGAAATAGGAAAAGCTTTATAAAGTCTTCCCTGGAATTACCCAAATGGCTGGCCTTTCACCAGCTGTTTCATTGGTTTCAGTTGTTCATGCTCCTTGTGCATTTTGACCACAAAGCACCTAACAGTTGTTCCTTGTCTTATTTTACTGAGTATGGCCTTTAGCTTCCTGGTCTATGGGAAAGTGTTTCTAGTGTGGAAAGTGATGAAGATAAATGTTTATAAACAATAACATATCTGCATCTTTCTGTTGCTTTTTCTTTCCCTCCTAACTTTGACTTACAGCCTCTTTATATACAGCTACCAGGGCAGCGAGGGGCAGAATACGTAAGCTACATTATGATGTCCAGTGTAGAAAACTGTGATAATGGAATTCTCCAGGAAAATAAATTGTCCACTTAGAGGTGACCAACCACACAGCCTTAAATCTTAGATTCAAGTTGGAAGCCAACCAGCAGTAACAGAAAAGTAAAACGTTAAAATAGGACAAAGTTGGGCATCTCATGGGTACAGACAAGAGTGAATGCACAAAGCAAGGGCTTCCAGTAATCCCTGCATAGAAATTGAGAATGAGAGGGATGCAGAGAAAAGAATCCTGGGCTAGAAAGGGCTGTTGTATTTGGTACTTTTTAAGTATAGCCTTTAAACTTGATTTTGAAAATTTGACTTCAGCCACTTCCCATTCCTGAAGCAATAGTAGGCTTTCATGATAGACTGTTAATAATTTCTTGGCAATTTTATAAGCATCTGATTATGTTATTTTCCTTTCCTATTTTGTTCTGCATATTTCCACTAGCCGAGAGTATTTAGACAAAAGAGAAGAGCAAAGACAAGCAAGAGAAGAAAGGTTTGTATACCTCTTTTTTTTCCCTTTGTTAACCAAATGGCACATGGCTTTGCACTCTTACCCAAGCACCCAGAGGAGACTGTGTTAATTAAAATATAAGAGCTTCACCTCAGACACCTAAGACCTCGGGGTAACTGGCATTTTGCAGGGTAGAGTATCCTGGTTATCTAAATTTTCCAGGAAAGTAAGGATTTATCAATTTAGTGTCATCGTGATGTGACATGTATGTGTCTGTGCCTCCAAAACTCTTCTCCAGGTGAGCATGTCGTTGTTATAGTTGTTATCCAGTCAGCCCCCAACTCATGGTGATCCCATGCACAATGGGATCAGACTATTGGGATCCACAGGGTTTTTTCACTGGCTGATTTTTTGGAAGTACATCATCAGGCCTTTTTTGGTGCCGTTTGGTGTGGTTTTTGAATACCCGCCACCACGCCTACTGAGACTGGGTTAATGTCCCTACTGTATGCTTCCATGCCACTTGTTCCACCTTCCTTCAACAAACATTTGAACACACACACTGTGCCGAGCACCAGCCACAGTGCGTAGCATGCCTGAGACTGTCATTGGATGTGCCTGATTATTTATCTGTCTCTTCCCTGAACTGTACTCAGTTCCTTGATGGAAGAAACTATACCTGCTTTTCCTTGGTATCCCCAGTGCCCACTACAGTGCTTGGCACATGATAGGCACTCAGGAAAAATGTATGGAATAAATAAGTAAATAAATAATAACCAATAGTTTTGTTAAAAATACTCAGGCCATAAACCAGTCCATTAATTTCAATGGCAACATGCTTTGAACCCCAGTAAGCGATACAAAGTTAGTATGTTCATTGTATGATAAATGTGGATGAGCAAAGGAAATTATTTGGAAGTACTCTCACAAAAGTCAAGGTTTTGCCCACAAGCGCTATGAAACCTGCAGTTTCTCCGTCTACCACTAGATGGGGCTACTGCATGGAGAGATGGAAAGGCTGATTTTATATGGGAGCCAGCTGGGAACCTAACGCTCTCTGCACCGTGCCAATAAAAAGTGAAATTGCGCTAATTTTTTAGGCAACATCAACTAAATAGATCAGGGCAGTCTGATACAGGGAAGAGTGGAAACTGTGTTCAATTAAAACTTAGATGCTTAGGTCAGTTTCACAACTAAAATTATGGCATTGCTTTCATATCAACATTTGATTTGATTATTGCCATCCTAATAACCAACTGTGGCCAGCAAATTTAGAGTGAAAGATGCCAGTAAAGAAACTTCTGTTTCTCTAATTAGTACCTGTTTTTGTCATTGTGCTTGAGAAACGTCATCTACTTTACCTGAAAATCCTGTCGACGTTTTGCCCAGGCTTAACAGAATTTGTTTATTTTTTTTAGCTCTCCCTCTGGATTCTGAACTTTTTTGAGCTTTCCACAACTTGACTGTCAGGTTATGCCCACACAAGCAAACAGAGCTGCAGAGGCTTGAAAGCCCCTGGGGAGATGTCAGGGTGCTGCGTCAGTTGTGAACTGGTTCAGATGGTCTCAGAAGGCTCCAAAGCCATTAGAGGCCAACTCTTTCTGGATATTATTTACCACTTTGTTTTCCAATGCAAGCCTTCCCTTCTACCTGGAAAATGTGTGCAGATGACTTCGCCACTCCTCTGCTTTAGTTCTGCCTGCAGGTCTGTCCCGCATGTCACCCATTAGCCTGGGCCTTCCTAGCTGGTGTAAGAGCGGGCTCTCTGTGGGGTTCTTTCCTTGCAGCTCACCTTTCTGTCTACATGGAGGTTTGGGAAACAGCCAAGCATTTTCCTTTGGTTTGGACTAGCTGCTTTTCTTGGTTGGTTAGTTCTTGAATTACCTGGTGAAGATGAGAGATATAATTCATTCCTGTTTGGAAAGCTGTTGGGGATTCCCAGTAAGCCCCGAAAAGAGATTTCCAACTCGAATGAAATTGGAGAATGGGTGGGGAAACTAGTGAGGATCAGAGGTACAAAGAGGTACAGAAATAAGGGAGAGGACGCCATCAATTCATCCTTCAAGACAGAGCTGGTTGTGTTTGTTGGATCTCATGTCTCTTACTCTTAATGCGAGAGACTCGGAAAAAGACGGCGAAAGTCACAGCAGATGGTTCTGAGGTTTGCATCATGTACGTGTAGCAAGGTGAATGTCATTTGCTACTTTGAGGCATAATGTCCGTCCAAGCACATGTTGCTGTTTGTTTCGTTTTATTCCATTTCATTTCATATCAGAAGGAGGTAGAAAGGGATGAGATCCAGGCTGAGTGGGGAAATGTGGAGATGGGAGGATAAGTTCACTTTGGATTTGCTAGTCTACAAGGGATGACGGGACATGGGGAGCAAATGCCTTATGGCAAGCAGGGGTAATGGGAACAGAGTGCAGGGGAAGGGTTGAGCCTGGGCTAGGATTTTGGAAATTATGCCTAAAAGTGGTCAGTGAAGGAATAAAAAAGGATTCTGAGCATTGCTTAAAAGGACTGAGGACAGAGTAGAGTAGAAGTTAGAAAATCCATTGCCGTCAAGTCAATTCTGACTCATAGTGACCCTATAGGACAGAGTGGAACTGCCGCATAGCATTTCCAAGGAGCACCTGGTGAATTTGAACTGCCGACACTTTGGTTAGCAGCCGAGCTCTTAACCACAATGCCACCGGCGCTCCACCATGCCACCAGGAGCCGGATTTGGGTAAGGGAGAATTTCTCAGTAGGATGGTGGCAGGAAAAGGTCGTCAATAAATAGGTTTATGTTAAGCTAAGTTTGCCTGCAATCAAGCAGGGTTTTTACAAGGCCCTGTGGGAAGAGACTGAGCCTGCATATCTGTCCCCTGGCCCCAGCACCAGCCCTCCACCCGTGCCCCTATGCATGCTTGAGTTCATTCCAATGGTTTATTTGCCTGTCTTTCCCACTGAACTGTGAGCGCCATGAGGGTAGGGTTTATTCTTGTTTGTTATCATATCCCTAGTGCCTAGTGCGGTTCTTAGCATATGAGAGACACTCGACAAATGTTCAATAAATAAGTGAAAAGATGAATGAATAAAATGATATGGGCAGAAGTAGGATACTTGGGAGTATTTAGATGAAGCCCACATAGGTGAAATGTCTTTTCTTGGGGTGATAGTTTGTGGACAGGAAGCCCAATGCTTTGCACTTGTGAGGCTCCATTGGGGTCTGTCAGTTGCAGAGCTGTGTGACCATCATTGCATGGATTGGTGGGCTTCCCGGATCAAGTACTACTGGGCCCCTGAGGGTGTGTGGCACTTAGAGTCACTCTCTAGGGGAAGGTCATGATATAGGTCCTATTTCCTCCCCAAGGACTATGGAGGTTCACATGGGGCAAAGGGTTGCTAAGCTGTAAAGCTCTCAATGCAGATGGCGGGGATCTTCCAATGCATACTAGTCTCCTTGCCACTCCAGCCCATTGCAGACAAACACGGCTGCTGCTTTTTCAGAAGTTTAGTGGATCTTGACCTCCGTGCCTCCCTGCCCCTGCCATTTTTATCTACCACATAAATATCTTCACTCCTTGGGACAGTTCAGGTTAAACCCTTGATTCTTCCCACATCTCATGGCTTCTCAGTGATAGCATCCATGAGAACAAAGAGTGCACAGGAGTAGTGAGCCATTATATTGGCGTCATATCTACCCAGACCCTGGGATGGACAACCCCTGGAGTCCCCCAGATAGTTGCTGTCTTAGTCATCTAGTGCTGCTCTAACAGAAATACCACAAGTGGATGGCTTTAACAAAGAGAAGTTTATTCT